TGTGCATAGTTCGCGAAATTCTCGTGTTGTATTTTTCAGCTCCATTAATTCACTTATATTCCTCTCTAAATTGTGTGTTATTGTTAGCATTTCTTCAAACCGTTTTTCAAAGTTCTTGGTTTCTTTGCATTGGGTTAGAACAAGTTCTTTTAATTCCCAGAAGTTTCTTATCATCCACTTTTTAAAGCCAGCTTCTGCTAATGGAACACAGTCCTTCTCCATCAGGCCTTGTTCCGTTGCTGATGAGGAACTGTGATCCCCTGTAGAGGGAGAGGCGTTCTGAGTTTGGTTGTTCTCAGCCTTTTTAGGCTGTTTTCTTCCCTTCGTTATAGATTTATCCATCTGTGGTCTTTATAATTACCGTCTAAATTCTGGTTTTTTTTTGATTCTGAAGACATAATTTCGAGATGTATGTTAGTTATGCACCAGCAAAGTAAGTTTGGTACATTACTTATCCTCATCAAGTATAGTTATTTCTTCTGCAAAGTCAGGGCAATAATACATACCTTACAATTACTTTGAAATTTGTGGGACTGAAAAAAAAGAATGCTTGGTATAAAAATAATAATTACTTATAATAAATAATTATTTTAAAATGTTATAAGTTTGCAAAAGCACTCTTTCATTCACAAATGGCCACATTTTACAGATGGAATACAATATAATCCCTAAGAAGCAAATTTCTGATATGATTTTGTACATATATATAGATTTTTAGTTGCTCAGACATTTATTTGATCATGATTGTAATTAGCTTTCCTCATCACTATCATAAAATAGAGAAGATTCGTGTTCAAATCCTCGCTGCTCAGCTTGCTAACTATGAGACCCTGAGAAGGAATGAGTGAAGAATTTTCCTGTTTAGACCACTGTATGGATTAAATGCAATAATATGTAAAATGTATAGCAGAGAGTAGTAGACGTCAAATTTTATAAACTTCCCCATACATTAAGGGAAATATAACAAAGCTTTCTTGGACTTGAATATATTCCTGTCTTTTTTAAAGTCACTCAATTGCATTGAACTACCCCTAAAAATAATGTTTCTCCATGTGAGTAGTTGCTAAAAATATGGATTGCCAAGCCACACTCCACATCTACTGAAACGGAAACAGCCTCTTTGGCCGTGAGGTCCAGGAATCTGCATTTTCAACAACCTCTCCAGGTCACGTGTACTCTGAAATTTGAGAAGTCCTGGGAGCTGTCTTCTTAGGCATGTACAGTTAGAATAGCCAGGTGTAGAGTATTACCTACTCTGGGGAGGTAACAATTTAGCCCTATTCTCAATTTGAAAGTAGTGAATATTACACACTTATCAGGAAGGTAAGATGCTATCGATTTGTTTCCTACACAAGTTATTAAAGCAGTAAGGAAAATTGTATGTCATACCCTGTGGCAGCTGATAGTCAAAATAATAACCCAAAGGATGCACTCTAAGCTGCTTTTTATAACGTTTTCCTATATGTTTCGATACATGGCTGTATAGCTAACTTGTGATCAACCTGAGAACAATTGTTAGGATGTGTAATATTCACATACCAGCGGAAAAAATGCACATTCTATTTGGAGGAGCTTTCAAAATCACTTTTCTTTCTCTACTTAGAATCAGATAGCTCCGTCTAGCACAGTATTACTATGTGACTATTACAGGAATGGGACAAATAAGTATAATCCAGTATAAAAACAAAAACTTTGATGGGGGGGACAAATATTCAGTCCTGTCCTAACTAGAAGAGATAACTAAGCACATTTATAGATACTTCATTTAAATAAACAGATGTTATGCACCAATTTTGTTTTTCACAAATTTATTTTCTTACATAGTTTCTACTCTAGGAAACTGATAGAAAATGTCCAACCCACCAATTTAGCAGCTGAATATATGAAAATATTATTTTTTGTTTCCCACATAAGGAATTACCACCAAAATATATAATTTCTCTGAAAAGATATTACCTGTTTTTACGTGAAAACACACAAAGGCCATAAAGTCAAAGATAAATTGTGAAATTGGCTCAGTCAATAAATGTGAAATTAAAAAATGTGAAATTTTTAAAATGCTGTCTGAAATATAAAAGTACCCTACCTTAAAATGTATTTTATTTTATGAAACAGCTATCATTTTATAGCACATCTGGTGCTATATCTTTTAAACACCTTTATGGTTTATATTGTTACTAAGAAATTAATATGATGTCTAATTACTGTCCTTAAACTGTTTGAAAGAGACTGGTAACGGGATTTCACTTTAGTAAAATAAAAATTTAAATGTATTCAAAATTCGTTAGCTTACACATAGGAAAAACATGTGAACGATCTTTGATTGTTGATGTCCCAATCAGTTTTTCATTTTGGAACAGAGAAACTTAAAAGCTTTTTGGTCATAGAAATAATAGATGAGTTATGAAGAGAAGTAATGTGAAGAAATAAAGAAAAATACTTCAGACAGTTCAGTAAAAGGGTTAAAAAATGTTGGATACCTCTAGGAGGAAACATTTCTGTTTAGTTGTTCTGTTGCATTTTGTTAATAAAAGAATTCGAAGACTACTGATCAGAAGATTAACTTAGGGAAAGAAAAACAAAATTTTAAATAAATTCATAAAATAAAATTCTACTCATTCATGTAATATTGTGACAGTTTTCTATGTTTTTAAATCAAAACAAAACCATTGCAATTTAACTTCATAAATAGATCAAGAATTCATGAAGTGCTGTAAGGATAGCTTGAGGTCCTGGATTATGCAGTGAATGGCTCCTTTTACTCATAATATTTGTGAAAATGCTTGACATTTGAAAGGATGCTAACTGGGAGACAGAGACGCATATAAGAGACAATATTTAAATGGTAAAAAGTATTAATCAGTGTTCTGAATACAGCCAGAAAATACTTAAATCATGCCTGTATTATTTTTAAATCACGGATGGCATAAATCTTATTTTAGAAGGGTTCAAAAGCATTATATGTATCCCCTGCTACTCAAGGAAGGAAGTATTTTTTTGGAAACTCAATGAAAAAATGGTAAGACAAAGCTATACAGCAAGCGTAAGACAGTGTTACCACGTGGCAATGAGGGACCACAAGAGCATGCAGTTTACAGATTCAG